CCAAGCATGACTTCTGGTTCTACAAGCGCCGTCTCGGTAGACACATGGTTCACCTTTCTCGTTTTGGGTGCTGGCTTCTGATAACTATTCTACCTCTATGGGGTCTGCTGGCTTGGCTTCTCAGGGCAATTATAAGACAAGTGACCTTCTTTACCATAATGGAAACACTTGCTGGGAGTGCTAGGGGCACTAGTCTTCATAGGAGTATTGTTAGGCGTTCCCTATCGTGGTGTCTGCTGACCACTCTGCTGCTGAGGACGTTGATCAGCATTCTACTGCTGGTTCTGGTTGCGCTGGGGTACTGACCACGATTTCACTGATTGGGTGGACCCTGGAACCTCTGCTGAAAGCCTTGCTGAGGATTGATACGCGGACGAGTATTGCTCCCAGAGGCCTGTCCCTGAAGCCTCCTCTTTTTGGCCTCCATTTCTTTGCGCTTGTTGTCAATAACAATGGCGCGATTCACCAGCGTCTGAAAGTTTGGGTATGTATTGGACATAAGCTGGAGTTGCAGACCATCATACAGACCCTTGAGAAAGCGGCGTTGCTTATCAGTATCATCAGCGACCTCATTCGGAGCATAACGTGACAACTAAGCAAACTTGTCACGATACTCAGTCACGGACATAGATCTCTGCTTCAGACCTCTGAATTCCTCTTGTTTGAGCTCTATCAATCCTTCAGGTATGTGGTAGGACCTAAAATTCTCTCTAAACTCCTGCCAGGTGACAGGAGGAGCATTGGCGGGACTTCCATACTCAAATGACTCCCACCAGTCTTAAACTTCTCCCTAGAGCTGCCCTGAAGCGTACAACACCTTCTGCTGATCATCGCACTGCGCTATGTCGAGCTGTTTTTTCACTGCACGAAGCCAATTATCTGCTTCCAGTGGATCAGTGGCATGAGAAAACACCGGGGGACGGCCCTTCAAGAATTCACCACGCTTATCACGCGGTGCTCCACCAATTGGATAGTTCTGCTGATTTTGCACCAACGCTTGCATGAGCTGTGTCTGCACTGCCAGAAGTTGCTCAATTATCGGTGGCGGTGGTGGTGGTGGATGTGGCGGAACACCTCCACGACATCGACCTCTTCCTCTCCTAGACATCTGCCATCCAACACAAATATTCAAATTTTAGAGATTTCCAAGTTAGATTACATTCTAAAAATTTTCTGGACGAGTTTCAACATCAGCAGCTCGATAAAACAGTCATATCTCGAGTTCCAGATATCCAAAAGAGGCGTACTTTATATGGTTGGAAAGCTTAAGAAATTATCTACCACTTTTATTCATACCACATTCCCAGATTCTGTCGTTATGTTACTCAAAAATAGGATACAACCAAAACTGTTCCCAGATTTCAGACTGCACAGAAACTTTATCTTGAATAACGATATCTCACAAACCAGATCGGATATAGGGGTGATTCTAGAGGCATTGAAAAGATTCTTAAGTCTAATTATTTCCATAAAAAATTTATAATTTTTGGTAGAGTAGATTTTAATTGGCATTGAGATAAGTGTAGACTGCTCCGAAAAACAGATTCCGAGATAACAAGATATATCAAACCCAACTATTTATTTATTGACTCAAACTTTAATATTCTTAACTATGGAACTTGCGGACATACCCACAAAGTTCCAGCACGCATTACAAAGATCTAACTCACACATAAACATAATAACAAATCAACTAGGCACACCAATGTTCACACCGCACTAATAGACTCGACTAGACTCAACTTGACTCGTTCTACTATCGTTTTATTATATAAAAGGGACTCCAACATCTATGGACAAGGTTTATGAGGAAGCTCCTCGTACATCTTTGGCAGGTTGAGGCACACCCTTTGTTCATCTATCACCTGTTGGTGTCTCTTGATGGTTTTCTGCTGTGCCGTCAACTGATCCTTCAGTTAGCGAATCTTTGCTACGGACTCATAGCCAAAGTGTACCATCACTTGGGTTGTTGGATCCGTGCCCTGCGGATCCATCATTGCCCATCCCAATTCCGGGTGTCGGTGAGGGAGGAATCGATATTGGTCATTCTTCATATCCTCGAATCGACGACCACGGAGGCCTATGCAAGTTTTAGCGGCTGCATCTTCTATGCTATCCTCCATGGTGGCACAGTGAGCATGGTGCACATAGTTTGAATTCAGCTGATATGCGTCTTTCTGTTCGTCCTTGATGAAGATGCATACCCTAGTCTTCCAATATGTGTCTTCTAGAGGGTGCGTATGTTCATTGCAGACATATTCCACAGCTGCATCTTAGTCACCGTAGTAGGTCTGAAGAATGCCCATGAGTCGGTGGTGCGAAACAGAGGATTCACACCCTGACTTATACCAGACATTTGTCGTCCATCCTAGGGGAGGGATCGACTCATCCTCTTCAACAGCATCTTCCTCCTCATCATCGTCGGACAGTTGGATGACCTCGATTCTTTGGGTTCCTCCTGGATTGGCTCAGGCGTAGGTACAGGTGTTGGTGAATCAAATTCTTGTTCCTGTGGTTCCTTCTCAGGCTCCATGGACAAACCACAAGGCGGGGTAGTAACCTCTGGTGCTGATGCAGACAGTCTTACTGGCACGAGGCATCTACAGAATTAGATTTAGTTAGTTAGTTTAGAAGCAATAATTTTCATAATAGAGTTAGGCAAAAGAAACATAAAACTTTAGCAAATAACAAGGGTAAGATAGAAAGCATGAAATGAGTGAAGCAAAGAAGCTAAAACGATCATTGCTAACTAGGCTTGCGTTCTACAGTTAACACAGCTCTGATACCAATCTGTCACACCCAATTTTAAGGATAAAATGGGATGCAAAATCTTATGTGCGCCCAGAGATCAGTCACACACATAAGCCGACAAATTATAAATAATATCATCACAAGTGTTTATTACATAACGAATAAGACAGTCTTCACATAAATATAGCGGAAGTAAGAAAAGATCTCTCACGGAAGCTCCATATCACAGGGACGTCAACTAGTTGACCACAAATCTTGTAATCCTTAGGGAAATCATCATTACCATAGCCATCTGTTATCCATCCAGGATTTTTATCCAAATAATGAAAATAAACAAGCGTAAGTACATGTCGTACTCAACAAATGTAACATGGGGTTCATGAGGCTCAAAAGGCGACACAGGTATAACAACATTCAGCTTTTAGTTGTCACAATTTTAGCTTAAGAGTAGCAACAAGTTATTTTAATTCCCAATGCAAAACACATAATCAATGTAAACATAAATAATGAATAGCATAAATAGATAATTCTTAGTGTTCATCTATTCCGTAAATGTTCTAAGGCCGCTCGTGGCCGAGAACACGGCTGATATACTAGTTTTACACTCTGCAGAGGTTGTACACTTTCACTGTGAGTCGTGATACTCATATGTCCGGGTTTGCAACTCCCAAAACACTTCTAAGGTGAGCAGGCAGGGGTCACTATGAAGCCTTTCAAAGGTTCGTCTAACAAATTAGGGCCATTAGATTCACTCGGCAAAAGGATGTAAACCGATGAAACTGCACTTTCCAAAGAAGAAACCGATGATCCATCATATTTTTTTTGCGGAATTAAATGAAAATAATTTTTATATGAAAATTATAGATCTCGACGAGATCTACAACTTTCTAGTTTTGAGTTTTTTCATTTGAAGTCGTTAAGATGCTTAAAAAAATTAATAACATATTTGAACTTAAGGGCATTTTCGTCTTTTCACACCTGCAGTTTGACGGCGTTAGAGCCTGAACTGACGGAAGTGGCATGGAGGACCTGAAAAAGTTGGAGTAGTGGCGCTGAAGACCGCTGAATTTTTTCAGGGACACAGAGGGGATTACGATCTTTTATAATGGCACACAGGGGAAGTCTCAAAAAAGAAAGTCGGCTGCATTGCGGAAGGAAGGAAACAGATCGCCCGCCCCGCCCACGTGGCTGGGCCGAACCCAAAATAGGCCCAGACCAGAGTAGGCCTCCTTTCTGACATCGGTGTTCAAATGCATATTAAGACCCCCTTTGGAATGAAGGAGAGACATAGGATAACTATAGAATTTCAATTTCTAAAGAATTTATTTCTTTTAGCAGCCTTTGGTTGATAAGAATATGTCACAGGAAAACCAAAGGAAAAAAATCTCTTCCCTCTGATTTCTCTGATTTCATATGCACAAGGAACAATGACAAACAATAGAATAATAATGATAATAATGGCTGCAGTTCATACCTAATCAAGCTCTCAATCGGTATCTTATTAGGGCAAGATAGCATATCCCTGTGTTTTTGTTCTTAAACAAGGTTTATTCTTAAGATTCCTATAGATTTTCTTAGTTTATTCTTGTACCCCACACACATAATTTTACAGAAAAATTGTTCTTAAGGTATCATGTTCTAAAGGAAATTTTTGTTACTTCTTATTTAGCCTAATCAAGTAGTAGGGTTGAATAAAGAAGTAACATGAATTTGTTCTTAAGATTTCTTAGTTTTTTCTATACCCACCCAAACACATAATCTTACACAATTCTTTAGGTTTGCACGTGCATTTCTACCATATTCATGTGTTTCCTCACCTCTGCATTCCGAAGGCGGACTTAAGTGTATGTACTGGTTTAGGCTAGCAACACAAAAATTTATCGTATCGTGAAAGGATTTTCATTCGAAATGAGAAATAAAACACCGTGTTTCGTTACTAAATAATATTTTTATTTGTTCTTGTGAAACGGAATGAAGTACCAAATATATATTTAAAAAATGGTATGTACTGGTTTCGGCTAGCAACACAAAATTTTATCATACTGATAAAGGTATTTCCTCATTCAAAATGAGAAAACAAAACGCCATGTTTCGTTACGAAATAACATTTTCGTGCTTGTGAAATGGAAATATCAAATATTTCTTGAAGTCACGTTATGCCATAGCCTTGGAGGATAATTCCAGTATCTAGGAGGGAATATTACGCATTTGATTCCAGGACCGTTCGCCAGAAAGAAATAATAAGCAAGATGATGAGGTACCAAAGTGAAAGAAGTAATCCATCTCAGCAGCATCTCCCTCTGCTTCCCACGCCTCGCCACCTTCTCTACGCGCGCCTTGCACGCCGCGCTCTCGCCGCGCGTGTGCAACAGCTAGCGAAGGCTCCGTCGACGACGAGCTCGTAGACCTAGGCCAGCCCCGCAACCCGCGCGCGCCATGGTGATCTCGGTGGCCACTCCCCGCCGCTCCACCTCCATACGCGACGCCGTGCTGGGCGGCGTGCTCGGCAGCGGCGGTCGCCAGGCGCCAGCTGTACCAGCCCCTCCGCTGCGCCTTCTACGACGGCGCGGCTGGTGGCTTTGGATTGCCCGGGGACGGCCTGGCCGCCGCGCTCTCCGAGGATCCCACTGCCGATGCCGCCCGCGTCTCCACCGGCGGCGGCAAGAAGAAGCAGGCGGCGAGGAACGTGCTGATCCTGATGAGCGACACCGGCGGCGGCCACCGCGCCTCGGCCGAGGCCCTGCGAGACGCCTTCCGCATCGAGTTCGGCAACGCCTACAAGGTTCGTCGTCTCTGCCAGCCCAATGCTCTCTTTGTCCTTTCGAGAACTCTTTCGAATTCTTTCTTCGACAGGAAGAAATCGATCGAGCTCCCTCCAAATTCTTCAGCGAACATTTTGGGGTTTTCCCTTAACAAAACAAATAATAGATGGATGGAATATGAAGTCGATAGATTCATTTGCTGGTTGGATTGCTTGGCGCAGGTGTTCGTGACGGATTTGGGGAAGGAGTACGGCGGGTGGCCGCTCAATGACATGGAGCGGTCGTACAAGTTCATGCTCCGACACGTGCGGCTCTGGAAGGTGGCGTTCCACGGCACCTCCCCGCGATGGGTGCACGGCATGTACCTGGCCGCGCTTGCCTACTACTACGCCAAGTACGCTCAATTCTACTAACTTTGAGCATCATTGTTGCTGTTGTTGTTGCTGCATCTGCTGATCTTCTTGTTTAGTTTAATTTTCTCACTGATTTAATTCATCCTTGATTGTTGAGCTGTATATATATACACATGTTCTTATCGACGCAATGCAAACGGATGCAGCGAGGTGGTGGCTGGGATCATGAAGTACGAGCCGGACATCATCATCAGCGTGCACCCGCTGATGCAGCACATCCCGCTGTGGGTGCTCAAGTGGCAGAGCCTACACCCCAAGGTGCCCTTCGTCACCGTCATCACCGACCTCAACACCTGCCACCCGACATGGTATGCATGCTAACCACTAATCACCACCGTGCTTGCTTGCTTGCTTCTCCTCCTCATCGTCCTGTGCAGTGCTGTGCATCAGCAGTCTCGCTAGTCTTGCTGACATGAATACCATCGATCAATAATTCAATACTGGGTTTGGCTCAGGTTCCACTACGGCGTGACAAGGTGCTACTGCCCGTCCGCCGAGGTGGCAAACAGGGCCCTGCTCCGGGGTCTCGGGCCGTCCCAGGTCCGCGTCTTCGGGCTGCCCATCCGGCCCTCCTTCTGCCGCGCCGTGCTCGACTCGACAAGCTCCGAATTCTGATCGAGCTGCATTGCCTTGCTTGCCTGGGACGCCGGCGGCCGGCGGCTTACCTTACCTTACCTTACCTCACCTCTGCTGGCTGGCTGGCATGGTTCACACTTCACAGGATGAGGTGAGGAAAGAGCTTGGACTGGATCCTCAGCTGCCGGCGGTTCTACTGATGGGAGGCGGCGAGGGGATGGGTCCGGTAGAGGAGACCGCGAGGGCCCTCGGTGAGGAGCTCTACGACCACCGGAGACGGCGCCGGGTGGGGCAGGTCGTTGTCATATGCGGCAGGAACCAGGCGCTGCGGTCCACCCTGCAGTCCCTCAGATGGAAGGTCCCTGTCAAGGTAGGTACCATGCATGATGCATGTGTGCATGAGAATTAATATTCCGTATCAAAGCACGATGCCATGTTTAGATGCGCATTTCAGATGGATGGATACCTCTGCATTTTTACGGTTTGGATGGAATTGGAACTGCTGGTTGTGGTTGCCTGACATCTCAAGCTCTTTTTGTCTTCATTCATCAGATCAGAGGGTTCGAAACACAGATGGAGAAGTGGATGGCCGCCTGCGACTGCATCATCACAAAAGTTTGTCCTTTGCCTGTGATGCTTTAAGTTATCTGAATGATGCACTGTTACTCTTTAGCAATTAGCACTGAATAATGCATGCTTTTCTGGCATTTGCGTTGCAGGCTGGTCCTGGTACAATTGCAGAGGCACTTATAAGAGGACTTCCTATTATCCTGAACGACTTCATCCCTGGACAGGTCAGTGCCTCTGTCTGCTGTTTCAGTATATATCGTGGAATTTTCAGCCATCCTCTACTACTCCATCAAGCAGCAGTATCACTAATTTGGTTTACTGAAATTACTCCTAAGCTAGGTGGGCTGACTACTTCTACAGTATGTAGGTCACTTGAGAGTGACAGTTGTTTCTGTTTTTTTGTTGCCTAATAATGTTTTCTTTTACCTTGCCCAAAACTGTTCACTCACTATAAGCCCATAGCACAGTAAATTTGTTCCTTTTATGGTGTATAAGCATTGCAAATCAGCAACTTTGGCTCTTATCATGCAGGAAGTTGGAAACGTGCCTTATGTCGTGGACAACGGTGCCGGTGTGTTCTCCAAGGACCCAAGGGAGGCTGCAAGACAGGTTGCACGCTGGTTCAGTACAGATGAGGATGAGCTCAAGAGATACTCACGTAACGCGCTGAAGCTAGCACAACCCGAAGCCGTGTTCCATATCGTCAAGGACATCCACAAGCTCCAGCAACAACCAGCTGCGGTTATCCGGATCCCCTACTTGTTGACCTCATCGTTTCCGTACCATATATGAATTCAAGAAAACTGTTACAGTTACATATTCTGCCATAGTGGATATTAGTTGAAAACTTATATGCCTAACCTACTGAATAACCTGTATATGTATAAGATTGACATTCCTTAGCCTACCTTGGAGTAGCTCTCATTTGTGTTCATATATGTCAACTCAATATATAAGGATTGAAGTTATTGAGCTAGCTTCCTGAACCTTGTAATCTGCTGACTTAAGGGTTTGGTATCTTAGAATAGAAATTCCTAGAGGGCGCATGTGGTCTATACTCTATAGTGATACATATAAGTGATCTTTGTGTAAGTCCCATAAAGAACTATCAACTAGCTATATAGCTAATTTGATCCTTTATGTCGGTTCTTGTTATTATGTAGTAGTATTTGGTGATGGGGATGGAGATGTGCAATGTATTTCTCGCTACTGAATAATATTTGGAAAGAAGTTACATATTGTGACTAAGACTGTTATATTTCTATCATTTATCAAGCTTGATATTCCGATTCTGGAGTTGAGTTTCTGGTTGCTTTCTACTTTCCATGCAAGTAAAGAAGTTGCATGCATTTTCTAAGATAATGGTTAGACATCAAAGAGGAATCGGACCAACTTATTATAAACTTAACTCCACAACTCAACCAAAAAAAGTTTTAAACAAATTCAAGATAGAACCCAATTCTAAATCTCGAAGGCCATCCATAGGAAGCAAAGAGCCTCATTGCTTGCTGATCCTTACATTGTTGCAATTGAGCCCAAAATCAAAGTTAACGAGCTCTCTTGAATAGAACATGCAAAAGAGATTTGGATCGGCATTTGTGAAAAACAATCCCATTCCTTGTTATCTAAATTAACCGATAAGTAAAAAGGATCATAACATTTTATCTCTCCAAGAATACCGAACATCAAATAAGCTTAAGACGTTTCGAGGTGGGTTCATTGTTTGCAACCAAGGGGGTAAATTTCGATGAGTCAGATTTTGTTGAAAGTTTCATGTCAAGTCATTTAGAAAATGTTGGATTTTAATTGGGCATGACTCATTTTAATTTAGTTAAAATCGAATACATCCTAAGAACCATATTAAATGCTAGGTGCATTAATATTTTAATCACATATGTGATTTGACTAAATGTTGTCTCAACTCAAATAGGTGGCTTGTGTGTGTATCTTTGTCAAGTTAAGAGATGTGAAGGACGTGCCACGCGCGCGCACAAGCCAAGCCAAGCTGAGTCGTGCGCGGGCTTGGGGTGGGCTACTTTTGCCATTTGGGTCGTTTGATGGTGCCATTAGATGAGCAGTTGGATTAATTATTTGAATTAGAACAACAGCACACAATGCAAATTAAAAGAATCTCATATGCGTTAGTTATTTGAGCACATTCAGTGCGGTTTGCCAGGGGATCATACATAGAAGCAGCGCTTGCAGCACTGTTTCTGTCATCTAGAAAGCATGCATCAAAGAATTTTTCAGAAAAAGAAAGCAAGAAACAAACAAACTCTCACCAATTCTGCTGTAGGCCCGGCATGCCAGTACTACTAGTAGGCCCATTTGAGCACTAGCCCTCCTTCACAACCACCCCCACCGCAACACCACCAACATTTGCCTCTGCCACCCTCTACGAGCAGAGTGCACTTGTCCTAAGTGTCTAGTGCTGAATGACGACGACGGTGATGATTGATGAACCAATCGCACATGCTTTTGGTCATAGGATAGCTTATTAGCTGCACTGGTGCAAACCTTAATCAGCAGGCATGCAGGTCTATTGCAGATTACCAGCAGCAACTTTGGGCATCCCCACTAGATCTATGGTGAGGTGCGGTAGGCTAGGCTGACACAAAGGGTAGTGCCCATACACACATGATGACCAACCTTTTGGGGATTTCATGTTAAAAAACAGTCAGATGACCATCAAGCAGAACTACATTCCTCCATTTACATGGTCCACAATTTGTTGTGGCAACTTTGAGCTTCCTTTTTTAATAAAAATATTTATAGTTTAGAGTACGTAAAATTATTAAAGTATACTTGATCATAACTCATATGATATGGATATTGCCATATTGGAAATATGAAAAACAATTTGCAGAATAAGAACATGGTCAAAACTACTACTATTAAAAGTCGATCCTAAGGTCTGTCTCAGTGGAAGTTTCATGTGTTTCATTTTCATTAAATATGTTTCACATAGGCACTTTTGATGACATGACAGTGTGCTTAAAAATAGAGATAAGAAATGAGTTTCATGATGAAACTCTCTTGGCACTATTACCAACTCTCTATGAGCCATGAAATTAAATATCTATAAAACTATAGAATGAAACTTTGCATTGAGAGTGGATGTTTCATCCAAGTTTCATTTTATTCTATATGACATGGCGGTCTTAAAACAACGCCATAAAACTATCCACTGAGACTAGCCTAACGTAAAAGAAAATAGAGATGAGCTGTCTAGTGGATGAGACTCAAAATAATGGCTCTGCTTTGTAGATGTGCATGTGAGGAGAATCGCTTCCTGAGAAGTTACACAAATAGTGGAAAAGTACGGTCAAAAAAAGCTAGTAGTATGACTTAACTTTTATGTTTTCAGTACAAACGAGAGCTGTGAAAAGAAGCATTGCAAAAAAAAACAGAATACGAAAAGTGTGCCATTTACTTTCAGTTTAAGTTTATTTTAGCTATAAACAGCTTATAAACTGTACTAAATGGGTCTGATAAGCAGTCAAATACTGCTGACACAAAGAATGAACCAGATAATAATATAATTACACCAACTTGCAACAAGAGGATCCTGCACAGCTGCACCTAAGCCCACTGCAAAATCTAGTTGCCTCCACAGATCATCAGCGGTCACAAAGGCAGGGCAAAGATTCTGAACCCTAGAAAAAATCCAACTCGCACAGATGAATTCCTCCTGTGGATATCACCTGCACCCTCACCAGTTCTTGTTACCTAGCATCTGTTTTTGGAATATTAGCCGAAAGCTCAACCACCATCAGCAACTTGTTCTCGGATAACCTGATCGTCACAGTCAGGCTCTAGAAAGTGGATTCAGAAACTATATTCAATTTAAAAAAATTCCACAGATGGTGCAGCCACTGCAATGTAGAAACACACAAAATTTAGACCCAACAGTAATTTTAAATTACGCGCGCGGTGATCGCTCTCAGAGGTATATATATACATATGCTTTCATGGTTCACCATGGCCATCCGCCCATCTCTCTGTTGCCATTCCTCCATTCAGAGTTCAGAGCGCGCGCCGGCAGCAGACAGCCTCCTCCGCCGCCGCCTTCTCCTCCTCAAGACAGCAGCTAGCTCCCTCCGATGTCGTGTGCCGCCGCATTCTCGCTCCTCGTCACGCTCGCCGCCTCTGTTACGCCGGCGGCGTCTCAGGGAGCCGGCGACGCGGCCGTCCTGCGCGCCTTCCTCACTTCCCTGCCGCCAGTCTCCCAGCGCGTCCTCCTTCCATCGTGGAACGCCACCACCACCAACACCAGCGACACCGGGCCGAGCCACTGCGCGTTCCTCGGCGTCCAGTGCACCGCCACGGGAGCGGTCGCGGCGGTGAACCTCTCCGGGCAGGGGCTGTCTGGCGAGCTCGCGGCGTCCGCGCCTCGGCTCTGCGCTCTGCGGGCGCTCGCGACGCTCGACCTGAGCCTGAACAGCTTCACGGGCGCCGTGCCCGCCGCGCTCGCCGCGTGCTCCGAGCTCGCCACGCTCGAACTCAGCAACAACTCCCTCTCGGGCGCCATCCCGCCCGAGGTCGCCGCGCTCCCGGGGCTCGCCTACCTGAGCCTCAGCGGGAACGGCCTCTCTGGGCCGGTCCCGGAGTTCCCGCTGCATTGCAGGCTCCAGTACCTGAGCCTCTACGGCAACCAGATCACCGGCGAGCTCCCCTGGAGCCTCGGCAACTGCGACAACCTCACCGTCCTGTTCCTATCCTCCAACAAGATCGGGGGCACCCTGCCCGATTTCTTCGGCTCCCTGACCAAGCTGCAGAAGCTCTTCCTCAACAGCAACTTGTTCACCGGAGAGCTGCCGGAGAGCATCGGCGAGCTCGGGAATCTGGAGAACTTTGTGGCCTCAATGAATGGCTTCAATGGCTCCATCCCTGAGTCCATCGGGAGATGTGGGTCTCTGACAACGCTGCGCCTGCACAATAACCAGTTCACCGGGACAATTCCGGCGGTCATCAGCAACCTCAGCAGACTGCAGTGGCTCACTATCAAGGACACGTTCGTCACCGGCGAAATTCCACCGGAGATAGGGAAATGCCAGGAGCTGGTCATCCTTGACCTGCAGAACAACAACCTTACAGGGGTGATACCACCGGAGATCGCCGAGCTCAAGAAGCTGCAATGGCTGTCCCTGTACCGCAATATGCTCCACGGACCTGTGCCTGCAGCACTGTGGCAGATGCCGCAGCTGGAGAGGCTGGCGCTCTACAACAACAGCCTAAGTGGAGAGATCCCTGCAGAGATAAACCACATGAGCAGCCTGAGAGATCTCCTCCTGGCATTCAACAGCTTCACCGGCGAGCTCCCACAAGACCTGGGGTTGAACACGACGCATGGACTTGTTTGGGTCGACGTCATGGGGAACCACTTCCATGGCAAAATCCCACCAGGTCTTTGCACTGGAGGTCAGCTCGCCATTCTTGACCTTGCATTGAACAGATTCAGTGGGAGCATTCCAAGTGAGATCATCAAGTGCCAGTCTCTGTGGAGAGCCCGTCTGGGAAACAACATGTTCAACGGAAGCTTACCTTCAGATTTGGGGATAAACACTGGCTGGTCATACGTGGAATTGGGTGGCAATCAGTTTGAGGGGAAGATACCAAGTGTGCTCGGTTCATGGCAGAACCTCACAGTGCTTGATCTGTCTCGGAACAGCTTCTCTGGTCCCATACCACCCGAGCTCGGCGCTCTAACCCTTCTTGGCAACCTGAACCTGTCGTCAAACAAGTTGTCTGGACCAATACCACATGAGTTGGGAAACTGCAGGAGACTTGTCCGTTTGGATCTTCAGAACAACCTTCTCAACGGAACCATACCTGCAGAGATCATATCACTCAGTAGCCTACAGCATCTGGTACTCAGTGGAAACAAGCTCAGCGGAGAGATTCCAGACGCCTTCACCTCAACGCAGGGCCTCCTTGAGCTGCAGCTCGGCAGCAACTCTTTGGAAGGAGCTATCCCTTGGAGCTTAGGCAAGCTTCAGTTCACTCTCAGATCATAAACATCAGCAGCAACATGCTGAGCGGCACGATCCCAAGCAGCCTTGGCAATCTTCAGATGTTGGAAATGCTTGACCTGTCAAAGAACTCCTTGTCTGGCCCAATTCCATCGCAACTGAGCAACATGATCTCACTCTCTGCGGTGAATATGTCGTTCAACCAGCTCTCTGGTCTGCTCCCTGCTGGCTGGGTTAAGCTTGCAGAACATTCACCCAAGGGGTTTCTAGGAAACCCTCAGCTATGCATACAGTCTGAAAATTCACCTTGCTCCAAGAACCAGTCCAGGAGGCGTATAAGAAGGAACACACGGATCATTATAGCATTGCTACTGTCATCTCTGGCTGTCATGGTTTCTGGGCTGTGTGCAATTCACTACATGGTGAAGAGGTCACGGCGGCGCCTGTTGGCGAAACATGTCTCGGTGCGTGGCCTGGACACGACAGAGGAATTGCCTGAAGACCTGACCTATGATGACATCCTTCGTGCCACTGACAACTGGAGCGAGAAGTATGTGATCGGGAGAGGCCGGCATGGCACGGTCTACCGGACAGAGCTTGCTCCCGGAAGGCAGTGGGCAGTCAAGACAGTTGATCTGTCCCAGATCAAATTCCCCATCGAGATGAAGATTCTTAACATGGTGAAGCACCGGAACATCGTCAAGATGGAGGGCTACTGCATCCGTGGCAACTTTGGTGTGATTCTCTCCGACTACATGCCTGAAGGAACACTCTTTGAGCTATTGCATGGAAGAAAACCTCAAGTGCCTCTCGACTGGAAGGTCCGGCATCAGATCGCCCTTGGCGCAGCGCAGGGCTTGTCCTACCTGCACCATGACTGTGTGCCGATGATTGTTCATAGAGATGTCAAGTCAAGCAACATACTGATGGATGCGGATTTGGTGCCTAAGATCGCAGACTTTGGTATGGGGAAGATCGTAGGTGACGAGGATGCAGATGCAACGGTGTCAGTTGTTATTGGCACCCTTGGCTACATTGCTCCAGGTAAAATTTCATCATTTCCTTGTTTCAAAAATTCACAGTATTCCAATGCCGTATCGTTTGCTCGTTAGTTACACTTGTGTTGTCGGAATTTTTTTCAGAGCATGGATACAACACAAGACTGACCGAGAAGAGTGACGTCTACAGCTACGGTGTGGTGCTGCTCGAGCTCCTGTGTAGGAAGATGCCTGTCGATCCTGCTTTCGGAGACGGCGTTGACATTGTGGCATGGATGAGACTGAACCTGAAGCACGCTGATTACTGCAGCGTGATGAGCTTTCTAGATGAGGAGATCATGTACTGGCCTGAAGATGAGAAGGCAAAGGCGCTGAACTTGTTGGACCTGGCGATTTCCTGCACTCAGGTGGCTTTCGAATCTAGGCTTTCCATGAGGGAGGTGGTGAGCACCTTGATGAGGATAGATGATCAGTATAACAGATAAAGAGAAGTTCTCAACAGATGGAGCATCTTCCAATGATGAATATATATATTACAAAGTAAAGTGGAAAGCGCAATGGTAAAGTTTTGTTGCAGATTAAGGTATCCTGATTGTTATCATGAAGATTTAGAAAAACAGTGGCAAACTAGTCCCACAAATTGCAGTGGGCAGGCCTTTAGTGTAACTGCAGATTAACTAACCAAACCATTGTATCATGGGCGCTGAACAGCTAATCTAGTGTAGAGAAATCAGCGAAAAACAAATGCGATTCTGAGAGGAGTCTGCATAAGAGGAAGAAAATTACACAAACCAACTGAAGGGTTCAAAATGCCATAACCTGAAGCATAACTGGACCTGTAGTGGAAGACAATATTATAGATAAAAATTACATGTAAAATAAATGTGGTGGGCAAGTGGACAACACATACTGTGTAAAATTATTACTGATCAACGCAAGCTGATAAACCGGGGTTTAATTTCCAGCATTTGTCCTTTTCAGCTCGACCAATGGATCCTAATCTTAAAAAGAACGTGTGTAGTGCAGAAATCGAACCGGTTAAAGAGAGGAATTCCCAAGGAAAATCGCAGGAATCAAGAAATAGAGGAAAGGAAGCTGAAACGCCAATTTTAGGGCCCCTTTGGAATGGAGGTGGAACAAAGGAAAAATATAGGATTGAGATTCCATAGGATTAGAATAACTGTAGTAGCCTTTGGTCTGTAGGAATTGGTCCTAGGAATTCCGTAGGAAACTTTCCTTCCCCTTCAATTCCATAGGAAAACTATAGGAAAAAAACAATCCACGTAGACCTCATGCAACAATTCCTATGCACAAGGAACAAGGCAAACAATGAATTTATGAGATGTCTAACCATGAGAGTGGAATAGAATAAATTAGCTTGATTAAGAAGTCAATCACGCTTTGTTCCTAAAAATCCTTTAAGATTCCTGTGTTTCTCCTTTGGCTATCCAAATGCCTAGGTATAAAAAAATTCCTATGTTTTAAATTTCCTCTGTTTTTCACCTGTATTCCTATTCTATTCCTACATTTTTTCTTTTCCTGTGTTTTACATTCCTGCAATCCAAGGAGACAGGGAAAAAAAAGGAATCCACTCCAATCCCTTGTTTTCTTTTCCTACACTATTGCTCGAGCTGATGAGTGCTTACGAGCTTGGGCGGGTGTCATCAGCGAGCATAGCATCCTGACTCCTGAGGACCGACGGCGTCGACGGAGAAAGCGAGTCCATGGAGGCGGAGCACCGCCGGCGAAGCTTCAGACTGAGATCAAGCTGCGGGTCTCACCCCTGCCCCTGCATCTGGAGCAACCCCCACCCCGGCCCAGACCCCTGTTGCATCTAGCCCTCTACTGCTGATTAGTGGAGCCGCACGGCCTCAACCACTTGCCAGTAAACGAGGGCACACATGACACAGGAGATCAAGAGATGGAAGAACTAACGGTTTGGGCCCTTTTACCTTTGGGCTTGTTGCTATCGTCCATCAATTGGGCCAATACAGAGGCGAAGAATTGGGCCAGACCACGGTCCATTATTGAATACATCAACGCCGTGCAGTATTGGTGGGTCAAGATAAGCGCTTCTACGATGAATTTCCTTTTGTAAAATATTATAGATTTGTAGGCTCTCGAAAACGAGATGTGCAGCTATTTTGGAACCCAGACGGCAATAAGCTGCAAAACATTCTTCGTCACAAATCACTAATGCATCTATGATGATACGTAACCTCAAATGAAAAGTTCGAGATGATTTGGGCCACCACTACAAACATCATCATCCAATGATCCAAAGAAGCAGAAGATTCAGTGTACTTAGAGAAGAACCAGCTAGTGTCTAGTGGCGTGTCTTGAACAATCACTACCGCCTGGTTTCGTCTTACATAGTGACAAGCAATTTCCTTATCTTGATAGGACTACCGAATTAACAAGCAAAGAGCTTTTTGGATGTGGTTACCAGTCCCCAAATTTGCGCATAAAGCAAGGGCCATATGTCTCCTAATCCTTGAACATTCTCCAGGAACTTCTCTTAAATAAGCCAAATGCCCTACTACTAGTATTAAACTTCACACTTAAACATAGACAGCGGTAGTAAGAAGCAACATACACAAACCCGTACGTTTTAAAACCTGTATTGGCAACGTTGCAAAAACAAGCAATGAGATCAGAAAAGGTTAGGACTGCTGCGTGTTATGAGGCGCCTGCCCAACAAGATTTGGTCAAACTAAAACACTCTTTAGGCAGGCAGCTAACAAGATGTGTAATGGCGCACCAGCCAGCCAGCTGCTAGCTAGTGTCATGCATGCAGGGGTTGCATTTGCAAGCTCACACGTACTGCATAGACCACCGATTGGTTATGGATAATTCACGAGCGTTATCATGTCCAATGCATCAGAATAATTGCCAACAGCTGATAATAGTGTTTTCTGATTTCTGAACTAAATAAGATATGCACATAGTAACAAATAAGGAGCTTAAATAATATAGGTCAGTCCATCAGAATGGATCGTTCACCCGTGCACAGAGTGTCAGAGATTCTGAATTATTTTAAACGTTGATTTGTTCAATTCTGACAAAAATAATTTTCCGCATGTCATTTAAAAATTTTGGCGCCGTGGGACTGTGGGAGAGGGGGCATTTGAGCCATTGACGTGGTTTGTCTCAACAACCAACAGCTCGGAACAGCACAGCATCTGTACGAATCCGATGGCCATGTTTAATATAAGCAACGGCCATGGTGAGTCAACAATTATTGAGAGTATGTGTTGCTCGCAAAAAGAAAGAAAAAAATGTGTCTGTCTCAGGCCACATTAGTTAAAGCTTGTAAGCTGTAACTAAGCCATAAAACTCTGTCATATACAATGGAATCACCCCTGTATATATGGAAAAAGCCAACCATTGTTGACGAATTCTGATATCGATTAAGGTCCACCGGTAAATTGAGCTTAGGAGTTTAGTTATGATTGATATATTGATGGTACAATCACCTTAAAAAAAACTACTGACCGTTTCAGTTATTGCTTGGTTCTCCACTATGCAACTTCTTTTAATTTGCGGTTTTGTATTTATTATTGCTTATTTGCTTGGCCTTTTTTGTTTTGGTGTGTTTATTGTATATTTTGTGATTACCTCGCACCTTAGTTTTTGTCTTTAGCTTTGGCCTTGTGGCTGGTAGCCTGGTAGTAGTAACAATACTTCTTTCGTTTTCTTCTCTTATGTTAATAAAAATAAAAAGAACTAAACAAAAGGAGAAAGGTTTAATTAGCTCCACTAAAGATTGTGTATTATGATGATCAGAGCACTGTACATTGCACGTTCTCTGAAACTAGAACTACTACTTTAATTCGCATCAGAATTCTCTCGTGAATCCATCATTGCCTATGTACGTGATGTCTAGTCAGGAGTAAAACTCAAACAGGGCTTGTTTAGATTGCAAGTTTTTTTACTTTCTCTCCGTCACATCAAATCTTTGAACATATGCATAGAGTATTAAATATAGATAAAAAAAATAACTAATTACACAGTTTGATTATAAATTACGAGACGAATCTTTTAAGCCTAGTTAGGCCATGATTAGATAATAATTATCAAATACAAACGAAAATGCTACAATATCAAATACTGATTCCTAACCCCCATCTAAACAAGACAGTAAAATTTCCCCAAGTCACGTTATCCTTTTTTTTCTTCGGTAATCAGGTCATCATCGCTTGCAAGCCAAGCGAAAAAATCACACGAAGAAAAATGCCTCGAGCGCAGCGCGCGAGCCCACACGTGCGCCAGCCAGAGCCAGCCCTGGTTGCCCTTCCCAAAATGTTTGCACAGCCCCACCAACTCTACGTCAAATTTACAGCACCAACCCCGTCTCCATATATGTACAGGCACCCTCGATCCTTTGGTTACAATACAGTAATCTACGGAGGATCAATGCGCAAAAGGAGCTAGTCCGAACCGAGCTCAGAACTCCGTCGAGAACGACTCCGACGCGGACTTCGGAGGCGGTGGCTGGTGAAGGTCCTTGAAGTGGCCCCTCACGTCGAACCCGTCGCCGTCCGCGAGGTCCTCGTCGGCCGGCGGAGGGATGTAGGGCGGCCGGGACACCTCCGTGAGCATGTCCCACGCCACGCCGGCGAAGAACGGGTGGGCGCGGATCTCGTCGGCGCCGCCGGCGTACCCGAGCCTCCTCCTCGGGTCCCGCTCCAGCAGGCCCGAGATGAGGTCCGCGAGCTCCGGCGTCCGTCGCCGGCTGTCCCCCGGGAACTCGACCTCCTTCTGCAGCACGTTCCGGAACGTATCCTTGCGGTTCTGGCCCTTGAACGGCGTCCGGCCGAACGCCATCTCGTAGACCAGCACGCCGACGGCCCACCAGTCGACGGCGAAGCCGTGGCCCTCGCCGCGCACCATCTCCGGCGCCACGTACTCCTCGGTGCCCACGAAGGAGTAGGACTTGCCCCACGCGGCGGCGGCGATGGACGCGCCGGAGCCGCAGCCGCCGAAGCTCGCGGGCTTCCGGCTCACGGGCGACACCCGCGCCGACTTGCTCTTCCTGCTGCCCACCCCGCCTCCGTCGCCGCCGCTGCCCATGATGTACCGGACCAGGCTCTGGAGCTGCTGCCGCGGCGACGCCGCCGCGGACCACGGCTGATGAGGGGGCTTGGAGTTGGAGTACGACTTGGCCTGGCCGAGAACCGAGTCGCTCCGCGCGGGGACGCGCGACCGTCGGTTGTGGCCACCGCGGGACGACGCTGGCGGCGGGGGCGGTGGCGATGACGACGAGTCCGCGGACCTGCTGGGCTGGAGGAAGCGGGACAGGTCGAAGTCGGTGAGCGTGACGTGGCCGTCGGCGCGGAGGAGCACGTTCTCGGGCTTGAGGTCGCGGTACACGACGCCCGCGGCGTGGAGCTCAGCAACCGCGGAGACGATCTCGGCAATGTAGAAGCGGATGGCCGCGGGGGAGAAGACGCGGTCGGGGAGCGAGTAGCGGAGCTCGTTGAGG